GAGATCCATTTCTCTCCAAAAAAATTTAAACTTTGTGGAATCTATAATCCGAAAAGTTGCCAAATACATATTTTATTTTATGTCCAATTTAAGAAACACAAATAATATCACGGAAGAATTTAAAATTCCAAAAATTCCAAAGTGGAACAAAATCGCATTAAAAATTTTCTTTTTCATCTTTAAGAATTTGTGTCCTTTTTATTTTGATGGAATTAGCTAAATGAAAAAATTAGCTAATTAAGCATTATGGGTTGGTTTAACAAAGATCTTGAAAGGCTCTGGGTGGGGGGAATGAGCACAATCACAATGGTTATTACGGGAATTATCCGAATGCTGATGAGCCAAGTGCAGATACAGATACATGAATCACACACATGAACCATCTACTTCTGAGGTTTGTATGATGCAGATGGTTATTGTTTTCTCATTCTTGGTGACTTTGGGTTTAAACTTTTCCGAGTTGGGAAATCTTGAAACAGCTGTGACTTCAAAAACATAAAGTATTTGGACTATATGTAGCTCTGGTTTGTACTGGTACTTCAACTTTTGTACTAGGATACGTTGAATGACCAGAAAAATGGAGACATAGACCGGGCAATTGCATTGTCTCTTTTTGAAGAGAATCAAGAACATTTTCTGGTTGTTTTAGCCAAACAGAAAAACGAAGACATAGTTTTGTTATCAGATTCGGTTAGCGAATGTAATTAGAAAATAAATATTATGGCCACAGGGAAACACTCGTTGGTGGATGAAGATGAGCAACTTGCAAGAGAGTATGATAGTTGGGAACTCACCGCCTCACAAAATGGCAAGTACATATGGGACTGGAGATTTATATGGTCATGGATATATATGCATGGAGGAGGAAATGTATATGCACGTGGAGATATTTATTATCCTAAACCGATTGCCTTTTCAATGGATTTCAGGTTGCTAATCATGGTTAATTTTGTCTTAGTTCCTTGTAACTTATTAACAACTTGTCTGCATAGGATTTGTGCTGTCTGCAATATGGAGATTGGTCATGGAAGATTTCTGAATTGCCTTAATGCACTGTGGCATCCAGAATGTTTTTGATGTTATGGTTGTAGTCATCCGATTTCTGAGTACGAGCTGAAACCAAGCTCTTCCAAATACGAGAGGACTGAAGAAAGGACCGAGATCTCAATACGAGAGGAAGCTTGGTGAGTTTTTCAAGCACCAGATCCGAGTCTGATGCTTCTCCGGTTTATGGAGACGGACGGTTAGCCGGTCCAGAAGTACGGTTTGCAAAAAACGCTTGAGCATATACAGATGACCGGGAGATTCCCGGTTTAAGAACCCAAATGGACAAACATCTTTTGATTTTAGATTGGGTTTTTTTTATAGGAGGATCCTTGGTAGATTTATGTGCTCCTCTATTCTTTTGGTGAAAAGAAATGAAATCTCTCAATCAATAAATATTCTTGTGTAATCATTCCATGATTCTTTTGTATTTCATTCAGAGTTTTCTTTGTAAATGCTCTCAAATCCAAAATTAGGACATAAACCGAACCAAAGGTTTCTCCTTTACACTCTCTCTCGTCGTCAATCGTCGATGAACTGAACTATACCCTAAAAGCCTAAACCTTTGGAGATATATATTATTACTTTTAGGTTCGATGTTTAATGGGCACCAAGGTTAATCAACCGACAACGAGATTCTCCTGATGCTTTGCCGGTCTCCGGCACGTGTTGTTGCCTTTCAGTTGCTTCCGCTACTCCATGTTCGTAGATTCTCCGATGCTTCGAGAACCTTGCGTCGCGAGCTTCGGGTAGGACACAGACGGATTCGACCCGAATTGATCGAGCGGGTCTCGCGTCTGCTCGTGCTCGGAAGGTACGATGCTTTACGTGATCTCTCCCTCGATTTCTCAGACCATCTTCTCAACTCCCTCTTCCGCAGATTGAGGCTTAACCCTGAGCCATGTCTCGAGATTTTCAATTTAGCTTCGAAACAGCAGAATTTCCGGCCCGATTTCAAGGCTTATTGTAAACTCGTTCACATTTTGTCCAGAGCTAGAATGTACGATCAGACAAGATGGTATCTTTGTGAACTGGTTGCTCTTAATCACTCGGGTTTCGTTGTCTGGGACGAGCTCGTTCGGGTTTTCAAGAAGTTTTCATTCTCTCCTACAGTCTTTGACATGATTCTGAAAGTTTATGCAGAGAAAGGTATGATTAAGAACGCTTTACATGTGTTTGACAACATGGGAAGCTGTGGAAGAATCCCGAGCTTGCTGTCTTGTAATAGCCTTTTAAGCAATTTGGTAAAGAAAGGTGAAAACTTTGTGGCTTTACATGTTTATGATCAGATGATTAGCTTTGGGGTTTCTCCGGATGTGTTTACTTGCAGTATTGTTGTTAATGCTTACTGTAGAAATGGGGAAATGGATAAAGCCATGGACTTTGCAAAAGAAATGGAGATTTCATCGGGTTTGGAGCTAAATGTGGTAACTTACAATAGTTTGATCAACGGGTTTGCTACGATCGGAGATGTCGAGGGAGTGACAAGAGTACTGCGGTTGATGTCTGAGAGAGGGGTTTCTAGGAACGTTGTTACTTACACTTCTTTGATTAAGGGTTATTGTAAAAGGGGTTTGATGGAAGACGCGGAACAGGTGTTTGAATCGGTAAAGGAAAAGAAGCTTGTTGCGGATCAGCATATGTATGGTGTGTTGATAGATGGATATTGTCGCAGTGGTAGAATTCGTGATGCTATTAGAGTTCACGATGATATGATGGGGAAGGGAATGAGAACAAATTCAACCATTTGTAACTCTTTGATCAATGGGTATTGCAAATGTGGTCAATTAGTCGAAGCAGGGCAAATACTTATGCGGATGAACGATTGGAGCTTGAAACCAGATCATCAGACTTACAATACCCTTGTGGACGGGTATTGCAGGGCTGGTCAAGTTAACGAGGCTTTAAAGCTCAGTGATCGAATGTGTGCAAAGGAGGAAGTTGTACCAACGATTATGACTTACAATATTCTTCTAAAAGGTTTCAGTCGGGTTGGGGCTTTTCATGATGTTTTGAACCTTTGGAAGACAATGCTAACAAGAGGTGTGACCGCCAATGAGATTAGCTGTAGCACTCTACTCGAAGCATTGTTCAAGCTTGGCGATTTTGATGAAGCTATGAAGCTATGGGAGAATGTCTTAGCGAGAGGTCTATTGACAGATACTAAAACCTTAAACGTAATGATTAGTGGGCTTTGTCAAATGGAGAAGGTCTATGAAGCCAAAGAGATTCTCGATAATTTGAAAAATTTCAGATGTCAGCCAGATGTGCAAACATATCAAGCGTTGTGCCATGGATATTATAAAGTTGGAAACTTAAAAGAGGCTTTTGGGGTTAAAGATTCTATGGAAAAGAAAGGAATCTTCCCCACCATAGAAATGTATAACACTCTGATATCTGGTGCTTTCAAGTGTAGGCATTTGACAAAAGTAGCAGATCTTGTAATCGAGCTACGCGCTAGAGGATTAACTCCTACTGCTGCTACATATGGAGCTCTTATCACGGGCTGGTGCAATATCGGGATGATGGATAAAGCCTACGCAACGTGTTTTGAGATGATAGAGAAAGGGATTGCCGTAAATGTGAATATTTGCAGTAAAATTGCAACCAGTTTGTTTCGGCTTGACAAGATTGACGAGGCTTGTTTGCTATTACAGACGATTGTGGATTTTGATCTTCTTCTTCCGGGTTACCAGAGCTTTAAAGAGTTTCCTAAGCCTGGTGCTGCTACATGTCTTAAAACACAAAAAATCGCTGATTCTCTCGAGAATAGTAGTACTCCTAAGAGACTCTTAGTTCCCAACAACATCGTGTACAATGTTGCTCTCGCAGGTCTCTGTAAAGCTGGGAAACTCAAGGATGCTCGAAAACTCTTCTCGGATTTACTATCGCGTGAGGGGTTTATTCCAGACGAATACACATACTCAATCTTAGTTCATGGATATGCTATTGATGGTGACATAAATGAAGCGTTTAACCTGAGGGATGAGATGTCTGTAAAAGGTATTATTCCTAACATTGTTACATACAATGCTTTAATTAAAGGCTTGTGCAAATCGGGGAATCTAGATCGCGCTCAGAGGCTTTTACGTAAGCTGCCACAGAAAGGCATAACTCCGAATGCTATTACCTATAACACATTGATTGATGGACTGTTGAAAAGTGGTCGTTTGGCTGAAGCTATGCGTTTAAAAGAAAAAATGGTTGAGCAAGGCTTGGTTAGACGATCCTATAAACAAGGAGACGTTGAAAAACCGAAAGAGGTTTTGGATCCCGTGATCAAATCAGCGAATGCAGGAGTGCAGGAAATGCATTCAAATGAGCTTATGATGTTAGGACAGTCTCTGAAGCATTAGTATGATGAAGAAAAAGATATACTTTTACCTCTTGTATAACTGTTCGAAACATCATTTCGAGCCTTTGATGTTGTTGCTATGAGTAATGGGTAACGAGAATGGAGGCACTACTATGAATCTCCTCCATTGATGTGGATATGATTGTATTACTTCAAGTAAACAATGTATTGTCTCAAGATCGTTTGAAAAGCTATCCTTCTGCCCAAAAAAACATCACTATTGGATTCAACCATATCAGTCATTTTCCTGATCCCTGACGTTTTAAGATATGAGACACCGCATTCATAGAGCCTAAAGTTTTTTCGAGCAGCTCCTAAAACCACAGAGGCCTCAGGTACGCAAGGAACTACACTTGCTCACAAGCTTTTACTTCTTTGGATATGAAACTATTCATATTATGATAAGTCTTTGTCTGTAACAAAACTGAGAATGTTAAAATTATCTTTGTCAGGTTTAGATAATGGCATAACGAACGATCGATATCAGTCAGTGGTCTTTGATAAGATAAGATGATCAACAGATCAAAAACCAGTAAGCTCTCTCTGTCTCATGGTTGTTGTTCCTTCCAATAGCCAGATGATAAGACTCTGTGATCATTCATGTACTGTTGTAATGTTTTGATGTAATAAAAATGTGATTGATTAATAATTAAGTTGCTTCAGATCAACTCAAAAGCTTACTGTGATTAGAATTGACGAGCCACCTCTTTTTTCCTATGTGTGAACAACCCACAAACCTACCTTTGATTTGTGTGTCGTCGAACCGGAGAGCTTACTCCGGTCTGGTTCGGTTCTGTTCGAAATTTGAATTGTATTATTTGAGACACGGTGGGTCCATCATAGTCAATAGACTCAATACCATTGTCACGTTTTTGCGCAGAAAGCTCAGAAGTCACTACGCAACTTGATATTGTAGTGGATGAAATATATATATGGAAAAATTATTAAAACTAATTATTGTGGTTTATTTCTTTAGAACAACTAAGAGGAAAAAATGCATGATTTCATATCATTTGCAGAGGCTTTCACTTTTAAGTCAATTATATTTTCACTTTTAATTTACATTTGATGCCTAAAAGTAACTTTATAATATATATAGGATTTGGAGGGTAAATAATTTTAAATTCTTTTAAAAGGAAGTGAAATGTACAGTCGATTTTACAAAAGAAAATGAAAGAGGCTCAAAGGTCAAACTGTACATTAATGTATGATGGGACTTTGCTCGTGCTTTTTCCCTTCTCACCGACACTCTCTGTCATCCAATTATGTCTTTAAACATAAAACCCAATTATTTAACTTCGTGGACCATTTCTAATTAATAAACTTACATTATGGTTTTGGTTTTCTTGATAACAAAAACAAAATTTGACATTATGGTTTATGGATCTACGTTTAAATAAGCACGTCGCGGCGGGTGACTTGTTATTTTTTGGTTTGTTGCTTTTTCTGCAAGAATATACATTTTTCTCAAAAACGCCATTTCTTTTCTCAAAATGTTTACGTGCCTTAATTTGTGCATTATTTTCCACTATTCACCCATTTGATGAATTTCTTGAAAACATACGTGGAAAGGAGCTTTTACTATGGTATTTTATTTTGGGTTTCTACGATTTGGTAGTTTCATTTTAGACAAAAAAAAAATGGAATAGTAAAACTCAAGACACGTGATTTTGTTGTAAAGACGGATGATAGAAATTCGTTTCGAATAATTGGGACAACTCATGTGCTCTTTAACCTACGAATCGCCTACACATAGAATCGAACATCATGGACCTTCTTTTACAATAAT